TGGAGCTCCTTAGAGTGTGAATTCTTTGTGGTGTTTGGGGCAAATTACATTTCATGTGTCCAAGGGTTAGACAGCAATATATGTGTTTATTTTACAGATGTCATGAAGAGTTGAGTTTCACTTCTGCAGCTTCTGATCCAATCATTCTCTATGCTACTTAATGCATAAAGAATTACTGCAGGTTGTTGAAAAATTGTTTGCAGTTTGGTCTGGCTCCGGCGTGAGATGCACAGGTGGAATAATGCCTCCGTGAGCCCCAGACCTCCAGGACCCCCAGCAGGACACCCAGCGGACCTCGACCCTAACCCTGATCCTAGCCGGGAGGCAGGTGGGGCCCACAGTGGGTGGGAGCTAGTGAGCTGTGGGAGACAGCTGAGAGGAGCTGAGGAAGGTCACGTCGCCCCACCCCAGCTCCTGCTTGGCCCAGCCCCCCAGGGAGCCACATGACTAGTGCCACCCGGTGTATGAGACAGGAAATGCAGGGGCACTTACATGCCTCCTCCAGTGGGGCAGTAACCGCAGCCCCTGAGAGCAGTGAGGTGCTGGCAGCGGGCCCACTGTGCATGCACAGAATTTAAAAGGGCCCACCAATGGCAGAAACTGGAGTTTGGTTTGGCTCTGGTGCAAGATACCCCCATCAGCCTTGGACCCCCAGGACCCCCAGCAGGATACCCAGCAAACCCCAATCCTGACCCCCAACATAGCTGGGAAGTAGGTGGGGCTTGCGGTGGGTAGGAATCAGCTGCGGGAGGCAGCTGAGAGGATCCAAGGAGTGTCACCCCTCCCCGGCTCCTACTTGACCCAGCCCCCCAGGGAGCCACACGACCGGTGCCACCCAGCATGTGAGACAGGGAAGTGGGGCACTTACTTGCTCCCTTCTCCAGTGGGGCAGTGACCCACAGCTCCTGAGAGCAGTGTAGCACTGGTAGTGGGCCCACTGTGCATGCACAAAATTTAAAAGGGCCTGCCAACAGCAGAAGCCAGTTTGGTCTGGCTCTGGTGCAAGACATGGGCGGAAGCCCATCATGCCCCCATTTGCCCTGGACCCCAAGGACCCCAGTGGGAGGGACACCCAGTGGACCCCGACCCTGACCCCCAGTGTAGCTGGAAGGTAGGTGGGGCCCACGGTGAGTGGGAGCTAGTCATCTGCGGGAGGCAGCTGAGAGGAGCCAAGGAGGCTCATGCCCCTATCCAGCTCCTACTTGGCCTAGCCCCCCCAGGAAGCCATGCGACTGGAGACTTGCAAACACAGCATGCAAGCAGGTGCGCTCTAGACCCAGCACTCAAGTTAGTGTGGGAGTTCATGCAGGAGTGTGAGCAGGAGGGGCACAAGGCTCCAGGTGGTGAGTCTGAAGAGAAGGGTTGGCACAGTAGTAGCCCAGACTACTATCTCTACCACAGTGGTGATGTGCCACACCCCAAAGATCCCTTCCGTGGCTGCTCCTCCTCCCAGGTACCTCTGAGGCCTCCACCCAGACAGAACTCATGGTTCAGGCCTCCACTCAGATGGGGCCCCTGGCTCTTAGCTGTGGGTCTGCCTGGCACATCTGCAGGCACATGGAATCAGGAGCAATGACACCTCCCCTTGTGAGGTTTGCTATACATTGGAGCCTCTGGAGTACTGGATAGGGGAGCTCCAGGCCATAGTGCAGAGGCTGTACACCATCAGGGATGATAAAGAAGAGACTGACTCTTATTGCCAGGCTCTGTACCAGAAGAAAGAAAGGGAAGAGCAAGGTTGGCTGGCAAGATAAGGGTGGGCAAGAGGAGCTCTCATAATGTCCAGCCAGGGGTTGCTTGGATGAAGGTTGTCTCTGGCCCTAAGGTTTGCTGTACCAGGGTTGCCACCCCCCTGGATCTACACAACAGGTACAAACTCCTCGCAGCACCAGTAGAGCAGCAGAGCCACCAGCTTTTGCACCTGAGAAAGAAAGACAACCAGCAACCACCCCTAAGAAGAAACACAGAGTGGTCACTGTGGGAGACTCCTTCTTGAGGGGGACTGAGGGAGCAATCTGCTGCCCTGACCCCTTAGCCCATGAGGTCTACTGCCTCCCAGGGGCCCATATCCAGGATGTAGCCGAAAGTTACACAGCTCTCTGACTACTACCCCATGCTCCTTGTCCATGTGGGCAGGAATGACAAGGCTCAGAGCAATCCCAGCCAAGTCATGAATGACTACAGGACTCTGGGAGCAGGTCTCGGAGGGTTGGGGGTGCAGGTGGTTTTCTCCTTGATCCTTCTGGTTACAGGTCACAGGAAGAGGAAGGAAAGAAGAACTATAGAAGTAAACAGAAGACGGTGGTGCTGGTGCCATTGCAAAAGCTTCAGCTGCTATTACCACAGTCCATACTTCAGAGACAGAGACAGAGAATTGTTGGGAAAGGATGGCCTCCACCTCACTCAAATGGGGAAGATGTTCTTCTCAGCTACAATGGCTGACCTGCTTGATCGCACTTTAAACGAAGTTCACTGGGGGGTGGGCGGATAACCACCAGTGCAAGCCCACCAAGCATCAACCACAAAATCAACACATCAGGCTGCACAAGGGAACTCACTCCTACCCCAGCCCAGGGACAGGGCTCTTCCAGGAGTGCAGGGAAGCCTAGGGTCTCCAATGGCAGGATCACTTACCTATACACAAATGCCAGGAGCCTGGGCAACAAACAGGAGGAACTGGACCTTCTGCTAAACAGAAATGACTATGATCTCATAGGGATAACGGAGACCTGCTGGGACTCTACCTATGAATGGAGCACAGGTATAGATGGCTAAAACTTGTACAGGAGGGATCGTGTTGCAAGGGATCATGTTGAAAGGGCAGGGGTGTAACTCTCTATGTGAAGGAGCAGTACACTTTCCTACAGGTGGAGATTGGCAACCAAGGAGGGTGACTTGTGGGTAAGAATACGGGGGGGGGAACATGGTGAAGGGGATATAATGGTAGGAGTCTATTACAAACCTCCTAATCAGGAGCAAGAACTTGACCACAAATTCACTAGAGAACTGGCTGAGGCTGCACATTCTTGGTGCATGGATGTCATGGGTGATTTCAGTTACATCTCATGGGAAGAGCACTCAGCCAAATCTGATCAATTGCAATACTTCCTCACATGCATTGATGAGCTCTATTTATCCCAAGAAGTCTACAGGCCAACAAGAGGCAAGGTGCTGCTGGACCTGGTACTGGCCAAAGGGGACTATTTAGTGAATGACCTAAGAATTGAAGGGAAGCTGGGAGTCAGTGAGCCGACATTCACAAGCTCAGCAGGGTAGTTGACAAGGCCCTGAGAGGCCATAATTTGACAGGGAGGGGAGTCCACAACGAGTGGTTGCTCCTCAAGGACTATACGTGTCTATAGACTTGGCAGTGCTATACTTGCTGGTACCATGACTGAAAGAGACTTGAGGATCATGATTTACCACAAGATGAACATGAGCCACCAATGCAATGCCGCAGCCAGCAAAGCAAACAAAATTCTGGCTTGCATCTACTGATGCATCTCAAGCAAGACCCAGGAAGTCATCCTCCTGCTTTACTCAGCCCTTGTGAGGCTGCAGCTGGAGTATTGTAACCTATTCTGGCCTCTGCAATTCAGAAAAGATGTGAAGAAGCTTGAGAGGGTCCAGAAGAGAGCCACGTGTATGATTAGAGGACTTGAGAGCAGGCCTTATGAGGAGAGGCTAAGATCCATGGGGCTTTTCAGCCTGGAAAAGCATAGATTTACGGGTGACTTGGTGGCAGCCTATAAGTACATATGGGGTGTGCATCAGGAGCTGAGAGAATTCACCAAGGCACCCCAAGGGAAGACAAGGTCCAATGGTCACAAACTCCTGGAAGACCATTTCAGGCTAAACATAAGGAAAAACTTCTTTACTGGCTAAGTTCCCAGGGCCTAGAATAGACTCCCTGCAGAGGTGGTGCAAGCACCTACGCTGGACGCTTCCAAAAAGCACTTGGATGCCTATCATTTGACCCCAGCTGACTTCCTGCCCCTTGGGCAAGAGGCTGGACCCGATGATCTTACAAGGTCCCTTCCAGCCCTGATGTCTACGAAATCTATGAAAAATGCAAATGTAGTATATGGAGATTCCATCTTAGATAGTTATATGTGTCTATTTGAATTCCTCCCTCCAATTTTTAAATGGCTATTGTAGTCTTTTCCTAAACTCTTGCAACAAGTTGCCTTTGTTATATCTATCCCACCCATCACTTGCTTATTAAGCATGTAAAATAAATATTGTTGTACAAAACTGTCTGGTTTTAGGATCAATATATCTTTTGTTTTCAGGGTGGTTACCTCTTTCATTCTGAATTTATTTCTTTGCCAACATGAGTTTTATGCCACTGACAACAGCAACAGTAGGAATGCTAATATTAACGCCTGTGTTGTTACTGTTTTTGCAGCTGGAATTCTGGTAGCAATGATGGGCAAATTAGAGCAAAATAACCTGTCTCACAAGGCCTATATCTATATAGCTTTTGTACAGGATTTATCACAAGTGCTTTATGCTCATTACAATATAAAGGATTGTCTTTATCTTTACAGGATGCCACCTCTGAAAGCCCCAACCATGAATGTCCTCTCTGAAGTAATAACAGAAGCTTTTGGAGTGGCACTAGTTGGCTATGTAGCATCACTAGCCCTGGCCAAAGCATCTGCTAAAAAATTCCAATACTCTGTGGATGACAATCAGGTAAAGCATTTTCCCCTCTGTACCTGTGGACTCTTTAATTAAGGAAATATATGGGAAGCATACAGTAGCCTAGCAGGTGAATAAGGAGTTTCATATATTATCATGCTGACTTTCCAGATGTGGATAAACACTGAATCCAAATAGAATTACTTTGCAAAGCCTATGAGGCTGTGGAGGCAGCTACTGATTCTGAGATGAAACAGTCTACAGTAGTCCCCATGCAATACTGAATTCAGCTCAGACAGCAGCAAGCTTGGGTGCCAGTGTATTCTTCCAGTGTCCTAACATAAGGCAGGTTCTTTCTGCACAGCTTAGCCAGAGAAGAATTTTAAATGGAGCACAGAGTTAAGAAATTAGAGCAGTTCCTGGAATGAACTGGATACTTATGGCCTTAAGGACTCATCTGATCACATAGAATGAAGTGTGTACAAAGTATGAACCTCATTTAAGAGTTTATTTTTATATAGAGTAGAGTCAGGGCTGGTTCAGGCAATGCTGTCAAAGCTTTAGCTCCAGGAATCCTTCTGGGTCCCATTCAACAATGGGGAGGCTGAGAAAGGGTAGAATATTTACTCCTTCTCCTGGGAGCAGAGGAAGTCTAAGCTACTCCAGGCTGACAGAGAATTTTTAAATGCTAACATAAATGCTTTGGTGGAAAATACATGCACATCTGGACAAATGCCATATTGCCCCATATCCTGTGGGATTAAAATTCAAACACAACCTCATGGGACAATAGCCTGGGGTGGATGAGACAAGGTTGAATGGTAAAATTTGGCCTTATGCTTGGAGACACATTGGAATGTCTATGCAACAGGACCCAATTTATGTTCCCTGTCCATGTCTTTTGTAAAACCTGTGGCTAAGTACAGACTGTCAAAAAAAAGCCCAAGGCTGAAATGATTCAGTCTTTGCAGGTTAGTCTAAACTGCAGAGATTAAACTGAGAAAAAACTGGAGAGACATTCACTTTTGATTCAGGAAATGCAACCACATACCTGCAGTGGCCCTTGCTGCACATTTAGAGAATATGTTGTATATATTCCCTTGTCTTCAGGGATCAATCATCTGCTATGAGCACATTGACTACCTATGGGGCATTAAGCACTAGCAGCAGCATTAGTGACTTTCTTTGTGCACTGAGCTTGAAGCGGATAAATGGGGTCCCTGTGCTCTGTTTCCCACTAGGTACATTGATGCTGGGGAGGAAAAACAGGACCGTGTATTAGAACACACTGTTCAGCTGAATCTGTGGCTGCAAGATCTTATGTGTCTTCCTAATTTCATTTGTTTTTTCATACATAAATCTTTGCCCAGAAGTACCTGCATTTCAGTAAATAGGTGAGGCATGGAGCCCATTTGTAATGATATCTACCTTATAAATTTTGAGATATCAACATCAATCCTAACACTCAGTAAAACCTTCTTTTCAAGGAGAAGGTACATAACCATTCCTTTCCACTATTTCCTATTAAAAATAAACAAATGAGAGCCAAAGAGGGGCTGGAATGTACTCCAGGTCTAAATAATACATACTTTGGGCTGTTCAAAATGCAGATGTGGATCTGGATATAAATGTTTTGGTTGGAGCCTGTCTTTAATTAGTAGGCAGGCCATTTATTCTGCAATCAAAATATATCTCCCTATTCTGCATTTGATGAATCTGGCTCAGCTCTGTTCCATTCAGATTAGTACTGAGCCACGAGAATGTGTAGTGTGCTGGGAGATCTTTTACACTGTATGTAACAGTCTTTTCTTTAACAGGCTGCTGTTCATTATAATTGCTAATATTTACATAGGGAACTCCTTTCCTGGCAAGAAGCATTGAAATGACAGAATAAGATGAAAAACAATGTATTCTTTTTAAAAACTTTGCAGGAATTTTTGGCTCATGGCCTCAGCAATGTCATTCCTTCATTTTTCTTTTGCATACCAAGTGCTGCAGCAATGGGACGTACTGCACTTTTGTATAGCACTGGAGCAAAAACTCAGGTAACTCATTAGACTAAATAGGTAAGAAAATTGAGCTTATTGTGTTGCCTATTACATTTTGTACTGATTGTATCCGTTACCTAATCCTTTTCTCTCTGTACCACTAGCATGGAGTTCTCAGAAATCAGTTTTTTCCCAAGCAAATATCAATACTGTTCTTTCACACTTCCTATATACCAATCTCTATGCTCGATTCCACCTTCTCAACAGTCAGGCATGTTTTCCCAGGCCACAGTCTGAGTTTACCAACTGAGGTGGAAAGAGATCTGAACTTCCCACATAATTTTAATAATCCTTATCGCCTTATGTATAGTAAGTCACTACCATGCTAGGAAAACAAATTGATTTCTTCCTTGTATATATATTTAATTCATTATGAAATTTAATCTTGGAAAAGGCCTTGCTTTTATCCCCTGTATGAAGAAGCTGCAAAAAACTACTAAGAGCTTTTACATTTTTATTTGCAACTGTTACCATCATGACAAAAGTGCCCTCTAGTGGTGCATGAAGGATTTCATTTTTGCCAGCTTTCAGTGAAAAAAATTAGAATGTGGCTAAAAGTATTTAAATACAACTTTTATAGTTGTCGATTTTCAAAACAAAGTAAAAATAAACTTGGAAAACCATTCCTAAAAGAATAAGTTAATTTGATAGCTTTGGGTTTGTGTGATGGTGTGCTTGTACTGTGTCACAGTGTGTTCATTGTGTATAGTATAAACTTGCGGAGGTGGCATGTTCAGCTTTTCCAGGGCATATATTGGATGTCTGTTCCTGTTGCAAAACAAAAGCTCTTGTCATAGTAATTGAGAACAATGAACTCTGACATCAGAATGCTGATCCCAGCAACATAACTTTGCTAATGCTCTGCATTGTGTTAACTGGACCATATGAATGGCCATCTACTCTTTACGTGAGGGTTGCATTCCAAAAAAACGTTGCATAAAGCAAATTTGTGTAAAGCGAATCCATTATTACATGCATAGCCACTTTGCATGCCTCTTCACATAAGATCAATTTTTTGTCACACAATGTGAATTTCTGGTATAAATAAGGTCGTCGCATATAAGTGAATTTGCACAAGATGAATTCACATAAAGAGAGACCCGAGTGTACTGTTACCTTTTGGGGTAGAACTACCATGGTAGCTGATGGGAGTGCATGCCCAGAATTGGGATAGAATATTATCCACACTTTGCACTTACAGATTGTGCTCAAAACTTTCAGATCATATCCCATGACCATTTCTCACTAAGTTACTGTAATACTTGTATATAATAAATAGGTACCCGGCACTTTATATTTCCAAAACACAGTGCAGATATTTTATAATTAGCCCACACAATATAGTATGAGATAGGTAAGTTGCAGTGAATAAATAAACAAATAAAACTTCCTTAAAAAGCATTAACATTACAAGAATCTGTTTCTAGCACTTCATTTACTAGATGTTTCAAGCCCCTGAGTCTGAGTGACAACATACAGAGCCTCATCATCTTAGCATAGCATCTTTGTCTATTAGCCATTCACATTTACTGTATTCTGATCCAACCTTCAGAGTCATACTTCATTCCATACTTCAGTCACTGTGGTATTCATTTAAGTTCTTATACAGCAGGCATCCTCTAGAAAGGGTGCAGAGGCTTTGAAGGCATGCAGGGATGAAGAGAACTATAAAGAGAAGCAAATCATAAGGCTCTCATGGGGTTAACTTTCAATTCTGGTTCTGTCTCTTTTGCTTTTCTAGTAGTGTAAGATGGCTAAAAGCCAGGTCCACATCTCTAGCAAGGATTTTCCCTGGCATAACAGAACTCCTCACTAGCACATTTCTGCCTTTGGCAGGCCCTGTTCCTTCTTCCCTACCCTGTAGGGAATGGAGCTTTGCTTCAATTTGCTCCATCTGTGGCATAGCATAACACTATCCAGCAGCAACTTTGAAATGCATCGCTGCTAGGACTGGCCCACAGAATTAGGCAGCTGGACCTACCTTCCTGATACCTTGTCTGTCTTGTGGCAAGCAGATCTCTAACATAGGGAAGAATCTGCTTTATATATTCAGTGATGCTAAAACGCATGTGAAAGTGTATGGCCCTTTGTCCCAGCAGTCTGATTTCTAATACAAAAGTGATAACATCAGACAAAAGAACAAGAGCCATCAGTAGTTAATTGCAACAGCACACTGAACAAATCTGGCTAGAGGCTCTGAAAAAACTAAGTAAAATATTCCCCATGAAATTTTCCTTCAGTTCTGTGTCTACCACAGTGTAAGGGACTTTCCAGTTACGAAGCTGGAACATGCTTATACACTAACACTTCTATAATATTTAATACATAATGGAATAAACTATTAAAATCAGAATGTTTATATTAAAGAGTGGATAGACAGTGTCTGCCTCACAGATCCTTCTCTAATTTCATGTTACACCACCATGTATTACGCCAACGATATGGTTGCACAGAGCTCTGATCTTGCATGGATCTTCATGGGCAACTGGTACCATCTGAGTCGGGAGGGCATGTGCCCCCCCCCCCAGTGACCAGTCAGCAACCAGGTGGGGGGTTCCTCTACAGCCAATCTCGCTAGTGGAGGGGGGTTTCCCACCCCCCCCACAGCCAATCTTGCTGACTGAGGGCTGGGGGTGGTCCTCCCGTGGCCAATCTCAACTCACCTGAAGGCGGCCACAGAGCTCCTGGAAGCAGCCACAGCCACTTCTGGGAGTGCCACAGCCACTTCATCCAGCGCTTAATTCCAGCCCTTGCTCATGGGAGGTGGGGGGCACTGGCACTCCTACCTGGCCCCCTGCCTGTTATCTAAGTGGGGAGTGCAGCCTGACAGGCTGTGCACCCTCTATGCATCACCACTGTGGATCTTTAATCTATATCTCCACTTGACCTGCCACTTTCCATTCTTTGCTTGTAGCTTTTTCTAACACTAATGCTAGTAAGTCATGACAGATGAAATTCTTTTACCTATTCTTTTCTGCTTCTTTTTGAAAGTTTGAACATCAGTTCAGCCTCTTATGGTACATCAAAGTGGCATCAGAGGCTGATGGATATGACAAACATCAGTGGGGATCATCAATGAGAAGAAAATAGTGGGGTATGATGTCTGCATAGAAAGAAGTCAGTGGACTGAGGCCTGTGTTATCAGGGAAATGTACAGAGTCACATGCAGACTTGTATCAGCCCTGATTTTAGAGCAGTGGTTCCCAGAGTGCTGTGGCACCCTGGGGTGCCATGAGATGCTTTTAAGAGCTCTGAGAGTGCAAATACCTACACATGATTGGCAAGGCAAACTCAGAGATTTCAAATAGGAATCCAGTGTATCAAAAATATTCTGACCTGTTGTGGTCTTTGAGTTCTTTGCAACAGAAGAATTGCTCTTTTATTTTTCTGTAATTAAAAAATTAGTGAAAGCTGAGAGCTGACATTTTCTGAGGGGTCCCTTGGGTCTAATGAGGGATGCCTTGAGTTTAAAAAGGTTGAGAAACACAACATTTAATGACATTTTCCTGTTTTCCCTATCACCTGTATTTGGATTTAGTAGTATTCTGATCATTTAGCTTAGTTTAGCAGCCAATGGGGGGTGAAAGGCCTTGATAACTCCCTCAACCGGTACCAAAAACAGTCTTTTATCTTTCAACAAAAATAATTCCTTGTGAACCTCTTTCTTTTCTTTTTTTTCTTTAGGCACTCTCTCTGTTTCCACTGATGTTATTTGTCAAATAAATTGCCCATACCATTTCCTAATATTTTTTATCCAGACTGTGATTAATTCATCTCTAAAAGTTAAACCTAACAGTTTTATTACAGAAACACTTTATCGGGATCAAAAAGCAGACAAATACCTATCTATCTATTGCCAAAGACCTTCTATAAACCTGGATAGAACTTGATTGAGATCTAATGAGCACTGTGACATAATCCTGTTAAACAGGATTAGGTTATTCATTTGCAGTTTTAACCAGGTTAACATAGTGCAATATTACCTAGAAGCATAGAGTCCTTGAATTCTGTATGCATTTGTTTTGATTCCTGTTTCCTACATAAACCATTATTTTTTTTATATTGAGGATTGCTGATGCATCTATTTTGAATAAAATACATTGATCCTAACACAGGGATCTTCACTGAGAGCTGGCAAAATACAAGTTTTTCCCTCAGTAAGAATAAAGGAAGTACAAAACTCTTCCTGCTCAAAATAATTAATAGGATTAAGAATTTAAAAAATATTCTTACTGCATTATTAAATTTGATGATAAGCACCTGTGCAGAGTCTAAGACGAAGGGGTCGTTATTAGGGCTGTGCGAAATTTCACTGCTAGTTTTGTTTCAACGCTGTTTCGACCCATTTTGAGGTCAAAACAGCAAACTTGAAATGGAACCGATATAGTCAAAACAGCCTTAAAACAAAAGGAGGCAAGTTGAAACGTTTCACCGTTTCGACGCTGTTTCTATGTTTCGCCCATAGGCTGTAATGGGGAAGGACAAAATAGCCTGTAACTTTGTTAATTCCAGCTTTATTTGGATGAAACTTGCAGGAGTGGTAGCCCCTTCTTTGGGCATGAAGCCTGGCAAGTTTCAAGGAGATAGGTACAGGGATTTCAGAAAAATGGCACCCCAATGATTTGAAAGCAAAACTTGTGTCACATGTATATGTTAAGCCACAGTGGGGTCAAACCTGCAGGCATGATAGCCCCTATGGAGGCCACAAAGCCTGTCAAGTTTCAAGGAGATAGGTGCAGGGGTTTGGGGGGAACTGCACCTCAAGCTGCGG